GCAACGTTTAAGAAAGCTTAGAACAGAACGTTTTAAAAATCATACAGAGCGACCATCGAGCGCAGTTTATACGGCGTTTTGGCAAGAAAATTTCTAGAATTTCAACATTCTTATGTCTGGAATGTTCTATTATTATTTTTGAAAAAAGTGACTGTTTAAACAAGATGTACATGTCCAATTTTTTTCCAAGTTTTTGCGTATACAGATTTGTCTCAGTCTGCAACTAGGCAAAAAAAAGAAAAAAAATCCTTGGGTAAAAAAAACTAACTTATAGCAAACCGACTCGTTTAATTAAATTACGGCTCTTTTCTCCAGTCCCCCTCCCTTGTTAAATTACAAAAAAGATATGTTCAAAAATTGTTCACACGCCAATTTGCATGTTAAATGTTGTGAAAATTTGTTCACTCTGTTCACGCTGACACGTTTTAATGCAGCTTATAACATTAAAAATTATTTTGAAAACACTTTCCATATAATGATTTTCAAAAAAAATAAAGGGGGGACTGGAAAAGAGCCTAAATTACTACTGTTTTTTCAAAGTATCGTTACTTGAACAGCTTGCTGAGAACAGCTCAAAGTTTCATCCCTTCAATAGCGTGCTATAAGAAACTTCGGCTCTTTTTCCTTCCCCCCCACTTCACACGAGCTTCAATATATTAGTGTAACGAGGGGTTTTTCGAGGTTGAGTATGAAGACCAAATATGGTTTATCGTGGCCTTTATTAGTCTGTATGTAAATTTTCATAACAATCGGACAATGTGGTCAACAAAGTTACATGAAAAAAATTGCAGGTGGGGGGAAAAGGAAAAAGAGCCGAAACTTCAGTTTTTCGCTAACCGATTCGAGACATGAATTACCTTAAAGTTTTGCAAAATTCCATATTTTAAATGGTTTGCTTAGCAATTTTGATTGGTTGAAATTTTTCAAGCATTCGGTTCCTCAAACATGAGAACCCTCTTTTTGACTCTTGAATTCATTTTTGCTTTTTGAGCATGTGAAAATTATTGTGACTGACTGAAATAAACATAACGTCGAAATTTCATGAAGCAGGGCTACGGGATCTACTTAACAATCCCCTTTTCAAGAAAGGGGAGGAGATCGTTAATAAGATTACTTGCAGCGAACTTTCGACCAATCAGAATGCAGGAAAAATTCGAAGTTACATACAATGCTTTAGAGCGAATTTACTGTTTTTATTTACATGTGTGGAGATTCTTCATTAGATTACAATAGGGGGGGGGGGTTGTTAAGTAGATCTGAGTTTCGCTCGAAGCCTATAACCATGGCGGGCAATTGCATCTGAAGCGTCAAAACGTTTTACAGTATAATCTGGATGTTCATCGTCATCACAGTATGTAAAAATTATGCTAACATAATCATCGGATAGTTGACAATCTCGCATTTTGAATTCGTCTGACAAAAATTTCAAGGTTGTTCGGCTTCAGATTTTACATGCAAAAAAGCGTCGAAAAGCACTGATTGGTCATTTTAATTAATTCTGTCTGTCCGAACTTTTTGCTACTAATTATATTTGGCATTAATAGATTGTAACAAATTTATCGGACAACTTTATTTAAATTTTCTGAAATAATTCTGACCTTGAGACAGTGAAATGGCGGTAAAAGTGCAATCAAATTTTTAAAACTGAATTTGAACTGGCAAAAAGAGCAATGCAATTTGATTGCGCTTTTAAGGAGAATTTTATTTTTTGTCTTATTGTTTCAGTATTGGGATCAAGTTATTATCCTCCCCCCCCCCCCCACAAATAGACCAAGTTAAGAAGTTAAGATATTCACCCCAGCGCTTAAATTAAATTAAGTTTGCTAAGCGCTGCATGTAAAATGCTCGGTTCTGATTGGCTGAAAATTCCCAACTTAGAACCAAGTTAACATCCTCCCCCCTAAACGTGTTTAGGGTGGAGTATGTTAACTTGGTCCCAGTATTTCCAGAAATTTTATACGTTGTCCGATAAATTTGTTAAAAGCTATATAGATTCAAAAATGTTTAAAAAATGTGATTGCTCAGTGTATTTGGTTTTAGTGTTCGGCCAAGGACTTGTCGAATGTCTCTGAAGTGGTTCCACTACGCACAGAAGGCAGTGTTGCATCCTAGCAGTCCCCTATACAATTACGAGATCAGTGAGGTGAGGGGAGGGGGCCGGGGGGCTAGCTTAGGAATACAGAAGTGTTTTTTAGATACCAGTTGGTCACTATCATGATACTGATATATTGTCCATGCAAAAATTGGCAATATCCTTTTCTGTCATCAAATCTGAACGGAAGCTAATTAACCTATAATAGCTCATTTAAAAGATGGAAATCACTTTTTCAGTCATCGGAGCAAGCAAAAACCATGTCAAGAAATCCAATTACATCGAAAGTTTGTTGTTAATCGATTAAGTTAATCAAGGTCAGCGATATCGCTAACAATTTAATTGGTGAAACATTACAGCATTTTAGATTACTTAGTTTTTTTGGACACAGTGTGAAAATCAATACTTGAAATCCGTCGTCAAAATGAGCAGTTTAAGTTTAATTAACTTCGTTCTGACCCGTTGACTAAAAAGTATGTTGCCATTAATTCGGCTTTAACTATATAATACGCATGTGCAATCAGATCAAGGTCACACGTTTTCGGTCTCTGTGCTGCAATGCTAATTTGAATTAAACAGGACTTATTGAACAAGATTTGAAACCTCTTTAAGTAATGAAAAGTAATGAAGCATTAAGTTATAAAACTTCTAAGTAATGAAGCATTTTTAAGAGTAATGAACGTAGTGAAGACTCTTATAAAGGTCTGGCTGATTTTTTTTGCAGGAAAAAGTCTTAAAATATTGATGCACTTAGGTAAAATGTATTTTTTGAGTTCAATTGAAAGACGTAAATAGCATTCTCCAAATACGAAGATTCGAAAATTTCATTTTTTTGAAAAGTCAGTTTTTTACTGTTTACTTGAGTTCATCACTCTTTTCCAATCTTCGATAGGCTATGTTTCACAAACTAGGTTGTAGTTAGACAAAAAGAGAAGAGAACAAAAGTCAGAATCGTACCAAAATTATCATGATTTCCAAAATTTCGGTAAAATTTAGGTTCCGAAAATCGCGCAGAATAAATTGCATTATGATAATTCCGGTGAAATTCTAAGCAACTCTTGTTTTCTTCATTTTTTGCTCTCTTCGCAAATACTGTGATGCTGGCCTTGACACTTTCTGACCCGAGCCAACTGAATTTTCTCAGATCTCTAAAAACAGAACTTGAAAGTATATCTGCAATTCTTAAGTAGATTATTAATGTGGTAAACTTTTTTTAAACGTGTTGTTTTATACATGCGTTAACCTATGAGAACTGAATATTGAAAACATTATAACACTAAGTTGATGACAGCATAGACAACTTGCGAGAAATCATCGGATCCTCCGCACAAAAGCATCGTTCTCATGGTGTAAGCAGTGGTTTTACAAGCTTAGATACGAAGGCCAAGTTTGCTTGGAGTAGCCTAATTAGTCGTCATTTTATATCTAATCGGATAGTGTGAGCCAAAGTTTTACGAGTAAAAAATTACAAGTGAGGGAATGACAGAGCTTTTTATCTTAGACTTAGACATGTGTGTTGTTCGGCATAATACAAGATTTAGGTACGGATTGAGTGAGTGTGTTTGTTGTAGCTGACAATAGCAGCCACGCGAGCTTTGCACAGAATCTTCCGTCTATGTGACCTAGACAATGACGGACTGTTGAATGACAACGAGATCAACTTCCTCCAGATCCGTGCCTTTGGAGCGCCCCTGGACAAGATCAACCTGGCAGAGATCAAGGGACTCATCCAGTCCAACACAATTGCTGGGATATCACACGACGCCATCACCGAAGAGGGTAAAGTCCAGTCGATATAAAATGAGATGAGCTACATTTCGAAATCATGCTAAATTGCCCTAATGCTAAATCGGCATAACGCTAAATCGTCTATGCAACGTTATTAATCGTCGAGGTTCAAATAGTAGTCAAGCGTTGTACACAAGCAAATCTTTTCACGAGCCAACGTAGTTATAATATAGTTTGAACAATCCATTGCGCAGTGTAAGTAACTGTTCTGATAGTCATTTCGAACAAGGTAAGTAACTGGAAATCAGGAGATCGGAGTGTCAATACTGCATTGTAACCCTTGCGATAACCAAGGGTGTTGCAATCGGGTACTTTTTCCCCGTAAATAAGTTTGTACACCAGAATGGTCAATTTTCTAGGAATATTTAGTTTCAAGGCATGCTCAATTTCTTGAAAATTCAAAAAATTACCATTGTTTTGGTTCTAAATGGCTTAATTCTATTTCTGATGTTATTTTTTTCCAATAATTTTCTCGAAAAATTTTGATTTTTAATGTTTTTTTCGGGTTCGTAGTTTTCCTCTTTTTCAAAATTGAATATATATTATCTGGTACTGTTTTTTATCGGCTTATTTTGGAAAGCGTGGATTTTATTTTGATTTAAGAGATTATCTTAAGTAAAATTGAAATTTCTGTAATTTGTGTTTTCCAAGTCTGGTTTTAAAATTTTTTTTTTTGAAAAAAAAACTAGAATAAACGGTTTCGGCTTTATGAAATTGTAATTTTTTTTGAGACGGTTGGGCAAATTTTTTTAATTTTTCGCAATTTCTGATTTTCATTCTCGCCAACTTATCTTATTTTTTTTTCAAAACATGGCACAAATGAAAGACTCGCTATTACATTGTATGTCTGCATACTTCCATAGTCTCTTCTAACCTCAGATATTGATTTTTTTCTCTGTGACTACCGTGCCAGTTTTGTTTCTCATAGACTACCGTGCCAAATCTGAGATTAAGGTTTCAGCGGCAAGAACAGGTAGTGGAGATTTCATCTACATAAGTCGCTAAGTCATTATGTTATGACCTCAAAAAAGGCTATTTTTTGACAGTTTGGTCATTTTGTTTTGAAAATTCTCTCAAAAACTACCCCTCAGATATTGAATTGAGGGTTCACTCGAAAAATCAGGTTGTTGAAATCCTTCGGGCTCAAGCGGCTACGCTCCAATTTATTTAGAAAATTTAATTGAGTTTTTGAGCGTTATCTTTATTGCTTACTACTCTGCCAAGTTTGATATTAAAAGGTTAATCAAATTAAATGGCTTTGGCAATCCTCCCTGCATAACCGAAGATGACATATTTTTGTAGGAAAACAATTAATTGCTTAGGGAAAAGTCAAATTTTGAAACTTGACTGGTTTTCGGAAATTTATGACTGTTCTCAAAAAATTATGCTTCCAGTTTCAATATTAATTGTTCAATTGTAATAACAGATTTCGGAAGTCTTAGCTGGATAAGCTAGTACGCCTTTATCTAGGTAAAAAAAGCTATAACCTTCGGGAAAGTCAAATTTGTTTATTTTTGGGTCTTGAGTTTTTAGTTTTTTGGGACGTTAATTTTTGATTTTTTTTCGACTAAGCTGCCTCTGTTTTGGTATCGCAAATGGTGCGAAGCCCAGTTTTGCCTCCGTGGTAGAAATTTGAATTAATAATTCCAACAGAAATAAGCACTCCGTAAAAAGTTGAAGTAAGTAAGCAATCCAACAATTGAAAACAAGGAAAATTTCTGGAAAAGTTTTGGCTGTAGACTTGAGTATGCTTTTAAACATCTCAAGCTGTTGTTCTTGTCACCAATCAGCTTGACCCTCCGACCACCTAATTGCAGTTACAGTTTTTAGAGTTTAATTAATGTTTGCTCGGAAAATTCCAGCTCGAAAACTAATTACACGATCGTTGCATATTCTGATAGCACGATGCAATTTTTTTCCACGTAAACCGCAAATAAAAATGCTAATTTTGCTGGAACTTTTGAATCTGTAGGTTGCATTACTAGAAGGATGCCATGTGCTTTGACGTTTGATAAGTACAATTTTAACCCATTTGATGCATTTTTAGTTCTTCTATTGAACCGAGAAAGCTTTGGTTTCATACAACAGTAAACTTTGTAAATCCCCCTTCAGAAGTTTTTCAAGTCGATATAAATCTTGAGATTTTTGAAATGGATTATTCGTATGCAATTTGTTTAATTGCGTTCTAATTTAAGTTAGTGTGGTTGGCTTTAGTCTCTTTCATGTAAAGTTTGAGTTGCATTTTAAAGCCCCCAATTCTTTGCCGCTTTCTCGCTGGTATTTGCGAAGCTGTAACTTCGCCTCTGTGCAACAATTATTTCAAATCTAATCTAGTGGGAGCTTTAACGAAACAAAAAGGCGCAAAGTTATCGACTGACAACAGACAAGGAGAACGTTATTAGATACGAAGGTTTGTTTTGAAGCGCCTGAAAATTATTGCGATTTGATTCAAGCTATTGAAAAGCAGTTTGCGTTAATATTATCAAGTGTATTGCAAAATTGTCAGTCTTGAAATAGTTTTAAGATTCGATGAATGAGTTCATACTCTTATGTAGGTGCTGGTTTTTTTGCTCGTTTTTTTGTTCAGGAGAAATCATTAAATGTGTTCAATTTCATTTTTTCGCGGTTTGACTTAAGACTTTTCAAATAAATTCAATTCATCTCCTTTGTTGAAATGAAAGCCAACTGTACTATCGAACAGCAAAAGCTTAAAGATTTGATCGATTTCAAGTTGCGAAAGTGGAATTTATTTAAGATAAATAAAAGTATTACGTAGTGATCCACTTCTCTCAAAATGGGTTTATTTTAAGTCACCAAAAATGTCACTCGTAAGTGCTCTAGAAATTCAAAGAGCTTTAAAGGTATCATTTTTTTGTTTGAAATTCGAAAATGAGATTTTTCTTACAAAAAACAATTCAGTGTTTTTTCTGTTTACTTGCGTTTATTGACTATTGGCTATGTTATAGCCCTTGCGATAAGCAAGGGTATTGCATTCGGGTACTAGGCTTTTTTTCCCGTAAACAACTTTGTTCATAAGACTCGTCTCAAGTTTTACCTAGTTTCATAATGTATTCACATTTTTTTTTGCCAACTCAGCCTGGAGGTAACGAATATGCCTGGGACGGCGAAGGTCGAGTTCGAATCTGACAAGGATTTGATTTTTTTATTCCAAACGGGAAATATTCTGTTTCAAATATAAATGTCGGCTGAATATTTGTCTGCTTAACTATTGTCGGCTTAGTTGTCACATATTGGAATCGTTTTTTTTTGCCGTTTACGGTGTTTGATTTTCTCCTACAATTTATTATTTACTTATCTTGACTTCGTATTTCTTTTTTTTTGTTTTTCTAAAAAAGATCTTTAGCCTAAATTATTTCGGCCTATTTTTTAATCAGCTTATTGACCTTACTTTAGGTAGTTTCACGGGAAACACAATTGTAACATTCCACTCCGAACTTTTCAAGTTGGTTCTATGTTTACCAATCGGTTTGTTGAATTTAATTTTTTTGCAAAAGATATAATTTTCCTCAGAAAGTTCTAATGATTTTCAAAAAAGGTATCAGTTTAAATACCACCTACTCCCCTGTATGCCTTCATACTCCTCTAGAGTCTCTTTTTACTTGAAATCTCTGTCTACAGCCTTCGGAAACGTCTGTGAGGAATATTTGATCCATATTTTTGATTTTTTCGTTTTCTCGAAAACTACTCTTCTTAAACCTGATTTTTTGGTTTCAATGAATATAACGGTTTTGAAAATCTATCATGCTGAAGTGGCTGAGCTCATTTTTTGCGCATAAAGTTATGGCCCTCGGATTGGCCAAAATTCTGACAGTTTTGTGATTCTTTTTGACTTTTCTCGATAACTAGTTTGGAAAATTGTTCCTGCTTCGCGTCTGTGTGGTAAACTTCCTACCGATGCTATATTCACTTTCTTTTGTCAAAGGATATTTTTGTTCCAAAATTAGTCGTATTAATTTTGAGATCTGTTTTTCGAGATTTTCATTTTTTGTTTCAATTTAGTGGCTTGTGTTTGTTTTGTATCGCAAGTGGTGCTAAGCTCAGCTTCGTCTCTGCGTTGATTTTTTGAACCTTTTTTTTCTATCAAGTGTTCAGCTGCTACTTTTTCAGCGAATTTATCTTCAGTAATTTTTATTGGTAAAAAAGCAATGAATGGCGACTTCTGTTATGAATGAATCAAAAATTATACATTTATCTGATTTGAAACGAAAGCAATCCATTAAGCACGCTAGCTTTTAGGTGTTCGCCGTTTAATTTTTGTTTATTTGAAGGTATTTTTAAAAAAAGTTTACGCATTATTGTTTGTTTCGGAAGTAGTGCGAAGGACAGCGTCGTCGCTGTGTTAAAAATTTTATTAATCATAAGATAATAATAATAATAGTTATCATAAAAGGTATTTTCCGTTCAATGTCTCTTATTTTTTTTGTAGATTTGTCGTTTCGTCAGTAGTTTCGTCAATCACTCATGTACCATATGTTAAATTGGCAGGTCCAGCGTTTCTTAGTGTTTCTACAAATAATTTGGGTCGAAACCTATATAATGTTTTTGCCCAATCACATAAAGCTGCTATGATATCACTTTACAGATTTAGAGAGTGAGAGAAAAAAACAGAAGTTTCATCTCTGTTTTCTGATTGTTTCTTCTTTTTTGTTAGTTTTGATTCAAAATGACCGAAAATGACAAATTGATAGCTATTTTTTTAAAATGACGACAAAATATAGCCGTTTTTTCTTGAAATGTCGAGTAAAAGTTACAATAGTACGAAATGGTTGCTTTTATCTGTTTTAACTCTTCGTTCATTGGTCGAATATTGAACCAATTGACCTATCTATTGTTATTTGCTTTTTGACATTATTGATGCGGAGCTTCTTCTATGGCGGAAAAAATTGTAATCAGTAAATTTAAACATTAAAAGTTAATCACTGAAAAACGAAAATTGTTTTTGTTTTTGAGCGGCTATATTTCTATGTGGG